TAAGATACAGGCAGAGTGAACACTGGGATGGCAGCTAAGTTAGTTCCATGATTTTATTTGAAAAGGGAAAGGTGAGGGGGACCAGACAGGGGAGAAGAAGGTAAGAAGGGCAGGTGTGGAGTGAAGCTGAGGTAAGGAAACTGTGAAGGAGGGGAGGGTTATGCTCCAAACCCAAATGCTCCATTAGCATCTGTCTATACTCTTTATCTTCAAAGCACTTTCCAAACATAAATTAAGCATCACAATATCCCTCTGAGACAGATAAGGTAACAGACAAAGAGGGAAGAGATGCAGATTCAGAGAACATTAAAGCGTTAGAGCTGGTATAATAAAGGAGGATCCCAGATCTGTGCTCAGATCACTAAACCAAGCCATTCTGTCATTCCATAATTTGGTCTTTGGTACCTCTTCTATTGATCTGACTGACGTTTAAAAGCCTGGTCAAGACAAGAAGATGGTCCTAGTACAGTAGATGATCAAAAAACTGAACACATCTCTGGGTATATTAGAATGAGGTAGCTTGGTTTATCACACAGAGGGGGAAGAGAAAAATGAAACTTGAGTCCAATCCTAAATGGAAAGCAGGTGCTTTCTCATTAGAATTCTTGATTCATACATATCCACAGTTCCTTGTCCTGTGAACAGACAGTGTTCAGACAGCACCTGCTTAGGGGTGCCAATGACAGATGGGCAGCTTGTGAGCATCGGACACACAGGAGCAGAACAGAGCACCTCACATGTTCCATGCTGGTTGTTGGGTAGGGGCGTAGTTTTAATGAGCAGGTAGAATGTTCCTAAGGTGACTGATACAGAGTGAAATTGCTTTTTGTTGAGACAAGACATATGGTACCAGTTTTAGGTCAAAAGTTTACGCTTTACAAAATGTAAGTGGAGAGAAGGACATGTTATTTGTTCTGCTGCTTTCCAGGACCTGCAGTCCTGAGATCTTTCCCTCACAGTGAGAAATAGCTAGCTCCCACCCACCTTTCTTTGTTTTCTTTGGAAAAGGAGGGAATGAAGGATCCCTGATATCTAAGCTCTCAAGCTTTCCGGCTGGCTGGCTGGTCTAGTGGCACTGCAGGCAATGGAAGACTACAATTTTGATGACTACTCTCCAGGTGCAGAGTTGGGGGCAGCAGGCTGAGCTCCACCAGAGGGGTCTTTGCAGTCTAGAATCCATCCAAAGGGAAGAGGTGGGAGCTTTGTGAGGGACAGACCAAGGGCATTGCTGGGGAGGTGCAAGCAAGACGTTCCAGCTAAATTTGCTTTTCCTGTGGATCCCTCGATGGAGTTAACAGGAGTCACCTTGGCCGGGGGGAGGGGGGGAAGGGTCAGAGGGGAGGTGAGTCCCTGTATAGCAGCTCCCACAGAGCTACCAGACACCTGGGGCCAGAGCTGCTGCAGAGATACAAGGCCTCTGTGTGGATCCTAGGGTTTCTGCCATGGGGAAAAGGTCCCACTGTCTTCCCGCCACCCTGATGGAATTATGCAGGAAAACTTGGAGAGAAAATCCCTTTGAGACACCTTTGCTAAAAGCCCCTTCCTGCAGCTTTATGTGTTTGGGGTGGGAGGGAAAAGAGAGGCATGTAGGACCCATAATATTAGCCATCAGTCTTATTGATGTACATGACTAATGAGAGGATCCATCTGGTTCTCTTACTCACCATGTGCAGGACTCCCCAGAAGGATACATGGGTGATTTGTTTAATCTTTTGTATTTTAACAGCTAAATGGCATTTTTCTAGCTGTTCATATTTTTTTTTAAATAGGTAAATAGATAATAATTACTAGCATGGAGAGATTGATATGTTAGAAAGTTAAAAGACATGACAAAAATAAAATCAGAATGTGCTCATAACCACATTTTAAAATGTGTCTGAACAAATAAGGGAACTGTTCAGAAATACAGTCATTTAATTAAATATAGCAAAGAATTAGAAACCAATTAATTGCTTAGCTACGGAACTGTAAAGTGCGTTTCATTAGTTGAGATGTCACTAACCTACTGTGCTACTGTGCCAATTGAATTTATAATTTGAGTACATTCAAATGGGTTGTTTTAAATTCAAGGCTCTTTCAAGTGGATTAAGAAGAAGTGTTATGTTGAAATGACAAGTTTAAAGCTTAAAATCATTTTTTTAAAAAGAGATTGCACAATTTGCACGTCAAACAGATGGATGTGAACAGAATCAATTTATTTCGGTGGCCTATGATCAAAAATTTTGGGGGAGGGAGAGAGAATGAGCCTCTAGAAAATGTTTGCTCCTTTTCTAATGAGAATTGGAGACATTTGGGTCCATAGATGAAAGCATTTTCCCCTCCTCCTTAATAATAGCCCTGGATTCAGAAATTAAGCACTGCAGGAAAGAAGATCCCGTACAGAAGAGCATATCCCTGAACTAATAAAGCATGCTGTCTAAGCTTTGAAATAAGTAGACACTTCTTATACAGCAAGTGAATACTTTGCTAATCTGTGAGCAGAGGAGATGGGAATGCAGCTAGGTTAAATTTCATACAAAATCAAGGATCACAGCTTAAAGATTTTCCTGTAGATCTCAACCCATTAAATTCTGCTGAGAATCGTGTCCCTTTCCATCTGAGGCCAAAACAGCTACCTCCATTTTGTCTCTGCTGTATATATAGAGAGATCATTCTGGATAGCAGATCTTTCATCGTGATTAACAACAAGAATCAGAACCCAGCACTGACATTTCATGTGCAATCTTCCATTCCGCACCTTTCCCTCTTACTTATTGCTAAAGCCAAAGAAAGAAAGAAACTAAGAAAATCAAAAGCACTGAATTTGACAGATACAGTGAAAATGACAAATTAGGAGGGAAGTCCTGCCTGGTGCTGAGAGCTCTCCTCTATTACTGAAGTCACCAGGAATTGAGGCTGTTCAGTCCTTGTCAGGATTATAATCAGATGAGATCAGTCATTCAAACACTGGACTCAGTGGCCTGCACAGCAGAAAATAAACTTCAAGAGATTGTGAAGGTATGTTTCATCATTTAAAAACATTTTTCCTTTTGCCCTCCCAGTTCCCTAAACTCCTCTGAAATGTGAAACGGATAGCTGCTTCCTCACCAAAATAGGGTTTTCTCCATCACAGTCACAGACTAGCTTGTTATTGCACACTGGTTTGTTATTATCTTTGTGAAGGACATCTTGGCTGTATCCCATACACACTGGTATTGTACAGAAAGCCGTAGGGGCCTAGTGGGAATCTGGGATCCCCTGTTACCCGTACAAAATTCTCTGTAACTCACACACTCTAGGGGCACCCACCTTTACCCAGTTCCTAGGGCTCAAGGCGTAACCCTCTTAATTTAGGCACCCACCCTTACCCCATTCCTAGGGCTCAGGCATAACCTTGCGGGTTTGCAGGACCTTTTACCAGTGAAAGCGCCTTACACAGTAATATCCTTATCCTCTATTTATTAACAATCACCCAAAATAGAATGCACACGTTACACATACAGTGCTCACCACTCCCAATAAAACAGATTAACTTTTCTTGGTGGCCAGTCAGGATCAGGTCCATCTGGGGGACTCCAGTTTCTGCACGGTGTCATTGGCAGAGTGTTGAGGTCTAGCAGCTCTGCTCTTGGGGCTGTGTCCTGGAGTTGGTTCCCAAAGAACTTCCTTTCGGACCCCAGTTTATATTGTGAAATTTGAGTCCTTTTCAGCTGTACTTTAACCAATCATTATACTAAAATTTTACTAACCAATCCTAACATAGTGTAACAAAATTCTCTAACCAATCCTACCCCACCACCTTCATTAATTTACACACAGCAAAATGAATTATGTAACAGACAGAAACAATTAAAGAACCAGACAGAGACCATACAGATAAACAATAGGGAAGTGGGGACCATCATGACAAACCAAGAAAGAAATGAGGATTTCACAACCACACCGATGGCTAAGTGATTTCTTGACAGACAGACAGACAGAATGCTATCAAACTAAGTTTTCTTTACCCATCTTAAGATCTGTTTCTTTATCTGGTGCTAGTGGGTGCCATTAGGACAGGGTCTCCTTCTTAACAGCCTGATAGTACATTGTTTTAATGTAAGAGCTGCTCAACTGCTCTTTTAATCTGGCTGCAGACGAAGGCTTTCGGCTTTATATCTTACAATACGGCTGCAGACAAAGGCCTTATCCTTATACCCCGAGTTTTAATCCCAGATCTGATACTGACTCAGAGGCCCTTGAGCCCATCACTTAACCTTTCTACTTCAGTTTATGCACCTGGCCGATGAAGATCATTTCTTATTTACTCACAGACTTGTTTTGAGGATTATTTAGATAACATTAGTAAAGAAATTTGGACATAAATAATGCTATGTAAATGCAAGGTGTTTTTGGGTGATGATGATGATGCTTGATTATGGGGTTGTTCTTGGATGTTGGGCTGTGCATAAAGGTTTGTTATAGTAGGATTGAGAGCATCAGTCTAAAGAAACCTTGCAGACAGCTAGAATAGAAAGATATATATCCCCTCTGCCTGGTAGTATTTCATGTTAATATAGCTGGGTTTTTTGCTCACTGTTATCTTGGAAAGATATTAGCTTTTATTCTTTTTAGCTGCACTGAATCCCCCAATAATCTACATTGTATAAATTCCATAGCAGAATAGTTTGAAACAATGTGAGGGTGCATAATATAAGTCAAGATCAGTTAATGAAGGGGCAAAACTGAATGAAAAGAAATCAGGTACGGCTATTAGCATGTGATATTAACACCTTTCAGAGTTGTGTTTAATGTTTCAAATTGCTAAATCTTTTCAAATAATATAGTTGTTTTGGCATAGTTGCCATAAGGGAATTTTTAAATAGGGGTTTGCCCTTGTCTTTCATTGTTTAAATATGAATCCCTCGGGGACTGAACAGTGCTTGCCCATTAGATTAGAACCCACTAATCTTTTCATTTATGGAGTCCTGGGTTCAAATCCTTGCTTCAGTCCAATGAGAAAAAAAGTTTGTTGGTTGCAGGCTAGTCAAAGCTGCAAGGTCACTACAAATTCATGTTCTCTGTTTTGTTAAGGAGGGTGCACTGGCAAAACTGGTGGCTGTGGGGTGATTTTGCAGACCTGACTAGTGTGAAACGTGAACTTGTTTCCTCTTGATTATGTCGAGAGAGGAACCTTTCCCCTTTAAAAAACAAAACAAAAACCAAATAGTCAGGAAAGGCAGATATGTCACCCTTTTTAATTAAATTAAATTACTGAACATAAAGACATTATACATCCCATCAAAGACTCAGGTAGTCCTCTTGCAACTGTGCCATGGGAGGGATAGCTCAGTGGTTTGAGTACTGGCCTGCTAAACCCAGGGTTGTGAGTTCAATCCTTGAGGGGGCCACTTGGGGATCTGGGGCAAAATCAGTACTTGGTCCTGCTAGTGAAGGCAGGGGGCTAGACTTGATGACCTTTCAAGGTCCCTTCCAGTTCTAGGAGATGGGCTATCTCCATTAATTTATTTATAATTTATGCTGGTGAGTGGGAGGAGTGATACTCCTTAGAGCAGGGGTTCTCAAACTGGGGGTCGGAACCCTCAGGGGGTCACAAGTTTATTACATGGGGGGTAGCGAGCTGTCAACCTCCACCCCAAACCCCGCTTTGCCTCCAGCATTTATAATGGTGCTAAATATATAAAAAAGTGTTTTTAATTTATAAGGGAGGGGTCGCACTCAGAGGCTTGCTATGTGAAAGGGGTCACCAGTAAAAAAGTTTGAGAGCCACTGCCTTAGAGCATGCTGGGATGCACCCTGTTCCTGCAGTTAGAAAGCTGTAGCCCATATTCTCCCAGTGCAACATTCAGACAGGGACAAGATACCTCTCAGGCCACGGGCAATCTGAGTAGTGCTAGAGGCTCTGGTTTGTGCTACGTAGCAGTGGGAACCAGATTAGCCTGTCCCATGTGCGACTGGATGTGAAGGAGCAGAAATAAGGCTTTCTGCGTTCTCTCCTTTTCTAGTGCACTCATTGAGGGAGGCATCGTTTAAAAAAAAATTAGTAGAAGAAGAAAAATCTAGTGGGCCAGATTCGGCTCCCATTTACACTGCTATGGAGCCCAACTACATCCATTCACATACGTGGAGTTATTCCAGGTTTACCTGGTGTAAGGAAGAATAGTCTAACACACTCTCTTTATCTCAAACTAAAGCTGAGTGGGTTGTGTGGTTTGATGATTTTTCCTTCCAATTGCTGGTTTTAATTAATCCGCTAGCACCACTGCTAAATAATGTAACAGAATGGAAGTGGACAGATTTTTGCTACAGGATAACATTTATTTTAGTAAGAAGCCACACTGTTAAATTTGGTTTGGTTGACTAGGTAAAGTTAAGCAACAATCAGTGCAGAAGGGAATGAAGAAGTCACTGAAAAACAAACAAACATGAAAATAAAGGATGACTCATTTAAGAGCTAGAGGTGGAGTGGCAAAGAGAATGCCAGGCCAGCATCAAAAGTAGGAGGGTATTTATCGTAGTAATAATAATTCTTTAAATCTCCATAGCACCTTTCATCCACAGAGCTTATATATTGTAAATATTAATTTAATGCTTTTGTGAGCACCATCACAATTTAGAACTTTTTTTACTATCCACACAGAGAGATCCATTAATAGACTCAAGTATTTAAACATAACAGTTCTCCTGCGATATTTAGGGCCAGATCCTGAGCTGGTGTAAATTGGCATCGCTCCTTTGAAGCCAACAAAGCTACGCCCATTTCTACTAACTAAGGATCTAACCCTTAAACTCAGGAAAGATACTGGAGGGAACAATCTTACAATGGGCAGGGAGATGGATTAGATGATATAGCTGGGTCTTGTGTAACAATTCCACCTTATTATCTTTATTTTACAGAAGCCCTTATTGGGAAGTTATGACACAGACAGGTTAAGTGATTGAGACAAAGTAGCTCAGAGTCAAAACTTTAGCTAGTTTATTTTTTTAAGTAAAAGATGTCACCCAAACAAATTTTCAACATTTTTTGAAATTTCATTTTTTTCTTAACTATCTCTGGTTAGAAGCAAGACATAATCCCAGGAGTCCATAGCATTGTGTTTATTTTTATGGGCTTGCAGAGATTGATGTGAAAAGAACTTGCAAATTGTTGGGATTCTTGCGTGTGTGCATTTTTGCTTAAGTTTTTGCCAACTTAATTGAATTGGCTCATTAGCACTGACCCTCCACTTGGTAAGGCAACTCCTATCTTTTCATATGCTGTGTATTTATACCTCCCTATGGTATATTCCACTCCTTGCATCTGATAAAGTGGGTTTTAGTCCACAAAAGCTTATGCCCAAATAAATTTGTTAGTCTCTAAGGTGCCACAAAGACTCCTCATTGTTTTTGCTGAAACCGTTTTTCCGGTTTCTTCCATAAGAAAATGATCATGCAATAAGGAGAAATTTGCACACGACTGAATATAAATGGATATTTATCTGTAGTTAGATATCTAATAATACTGGCTGCTCTCTTAGCTAACAAAAGTAGAAGGAGTTTCGCATTTGAGAAGATTCTCTTTTAATGCTGATGGACAGATATAAATGAAATCCGAATTGCATATGAGTGAACAGGTAACTCAATTTTTTCTGCTGTAATTTCAGTAAGAACAAAGAGGCATTCAGTAATAAATAAATAAAAAAGCAGAGCAGCAAAATCACTTAGTCTAAATTTTCAGCTGTGATTGTTATGTTCACACCATACAAACAGAGAGGTTAGATGAAAACATAAAATACGCTTTCTGGAAGGTTGCAGCATAACACTACTGTATTGCTTAAAATCTAGAACTGTCACACACGAGAATCAGAAATAGAGAGAGAGAAATCAGGCTGCTCACTATGGCAGAGAGGCACAACTCAACCCACCTTGCTCTAGGATGGCTTTTTGCAGACTGGCTCATGAAAGACACAGATCACACGCTTCCCTATGGAGACCCCTAGCTTGCAAGAAGGACCAGGAAAATCCCATGTAATTTAGAGCGATAACATATAATTTTTCAATACACCACAACTGTTAGGCACACAATTACCTGAATTGCATACACAAATGGAATAGGTGTCTATTTTTGCACATAAACTTGCTGTGCCCAGTGCTGAAATCCTGCTTACACATTGTAGTGCGCCCAAGTTACTCTAACTTTTTTGTACATTCAGTTAATCCTATTTTGCATCTCCGTTATTTAATATTGTGTTAATCCTTTGCTGCCAATTTACAATCAACCCATCCTGTTCATCATGACCTGCCACATCTAGCACCAGAGATGGAGGCTGATGTCTTCTATTGCATGGCTGCTACCTTGGGTTGCAAAAATGCTCATGCCGGGAGGGGGGAAAGAAATCTTTGGAACACATTTCTAGTCCAACATGTAAATGTTCCTCTATAGTATGCAGCAGTGTTCTTATATTCTTATTGTGTAACCACATTCTAACTGACAGTAGGCTCCCACTGAGACTGTTCCTTGCATGACCGTATATAATCTTCATGGGTGGATGGCCATGGGGATGTTGCAGTGTTGTAGGGCAAATGTCAATAACTATGAGACTCAGACCCCTTGACCTCTATACTCTGCCTTAGAAAACCCTGCTGTGCTTCTTATTGTAGAGGCCTGGCAAAGTGAGTTATATAGGGAGCTAGGATTGGATTGGTGCTTCCAATGCTTCAGGTGAGCTTTTGCACTGATGCTCATATGAATGCTCTCGCAGAATCCACCCCCTCCTCCACCCCAGAGGCAGTTGCCTTTATATCTGTTTTGTGGCATTTTCAGAGCTTTGTTATAGTCATTGCCCAACTAGATAAAGGTGACCCAAATTATTATGTAGATTTGAGCTGATTACTGCATCACTCCAAGCTAGAAGCCAGCTTATCGGCTTCTGTGTGGCCACCAAGCTTTGCCTTCTCTCCTGTCCCCTTTTATTTCATCTTGATATTATCTGCACCTCACAGATTTGCTACAACATGAAAAGGAAAGCAACAAGGGGTTGCTGTGCATTTTAGGGAAAAATGGATTCACACCATGGCCAGGGCCGGCTCCAGGCACCAGCAAAGGAAGCAGGTGCTTGGGGCAGCCAATGGAAAGGGGCGGCACGTCCGGGTCTTTGGCGGCAATTCGGTGGCGGGTCCCTCACTCCCTCTCGGAGGGAAGGACCCGCCGCCGAATTGCCACTGAAGAATGAAGCAGCGCGGTAGAACTGCCGCCGAAGTGCTGCTGATCACGGCTTTATCTTTTTTTTTTGGCTTCGCTGCTTGGGGCGGCAAAAAAGCTGGAGCTGGCCCTGACCATGGGCATAGCTTGGGGGCACGACAAGAGGGCGTTGCCCTCCCAAACAGCAAGCCTCAGGCAGGTGTGGAATTTGTCCCTCCCGCACACACATAGCCACATTGCCCTGACTAGAGCTGCCCTCCACCAAATATAGAAGTCAAACTATGTCTATGATTCACACTAAATTTAGCTTGATGTTTTTCTGCATGATACCCTGGTCTTTTGATGATATAATAGCTAGCCTGAAATTTACTATATCTGTAATGATCACATTACAGCCCCGAGGCACCGCAGCAAGGAAACAACAATCTGCAAAGCTGAATCAAATCAATTCCCTCACATTTTAGAACTGCTGTATGGGCCTTTATTATCATTACATGAAATCTGTTAAGCTTGGTAGAAATCAATTTCCAGCTGAGACAAGTTTATCACTGTTCATCGAAAGGGAGGATCCCTGTCAGCCTAGCTGGTACATATAGATTAGAAGGTCCTGGTGTAAATTCTGATTGCATTTATATTCAGGATATGTGCTGTTCAACATTCCTTCCAGTTGGAAGTGTCCCTTAGTTGGTGAAGTTTGATCTTGTACAAACCAAAACAAGATTTCTGATCAAGCACTTTACCCTGTAACCCGCTGGTGAGTGTGTTTTATGTGTCCCCCCATCTGTGCTCAATCTCTAGAAGATATGGGTCTGTTACAGCTCCTGGCTTGAGAGCCTGGCTCTTGGCCCCAGCTGTAGAGACTGATATTC